TATTTCTACAGGCCAAATGCCTGAAAGAACCTGAGCTTATGAAGGAGCGAGAGTGCAACCAAGAAAGAGGCCGCTATCTGGTCATTACTGCCCCTGAAGACCCCACAGAACCAGAGATTCTCACTTCCGCCCAGGAAAAGCCAGCTGCAGGAGTCCCTCCGGTGGCCAGCCGCTTACGTCAAGCGTCAGCTGTGACGTGGCGTCAACGGCCTGACCTGGCGGTTGGCGCCCTGCGGTCGTTGCTGCGGCCCTGGGCGCAAAAGCCCGGCGCCTTTGCTTTCAGCATCAATGTCAGTGTGTAAAATAGCGGGGCTGGAGCCTGGAGGGTTTTGTGTCTTCCATCTTGAAGGAAATCTGGGCGGCTCAGAATTTTTAACCTGGTCACCTTAGAGCCCCTCGGTCAAGGCAGAACCAGCCGCTAACCTCTCCACAGCCGCAGCAAGTGTATCCACTCCTCACAGGGGAGACTGGTGAGCCACCTCCCTCATCAAGTTGGGAGGGTTTTCATTAGATTCTTGGGCAAAAACATTCTTGTTTTCCTCCTAATTTTAGCGCTGCGTGTCTGCCTCAGTGGCAATGGTTCTTCTTTTGATGCAGAATCTCAGGCAAATCATACTTTTCCAACCCTCTCCCCCCTCCCCCCTCCCCGCCCCTGGTTTTGTATGCTGGATCATTATGGTTTGAAATGCATATCAAATTAACCCTCGAGGGAAAGCCAGAAAACACTTTTCTTTGTGGTGGAAAGTGACTGATAAACTTGGGCTAGTTTACGGTGATATAATGTCAACCTCCTAGAATTGTTAGGAGGGGTTTAAATGAATATACGCATTCACCGCGTGTAACTTTTGTATTAATGTGAACTTCGTGGATCCATTTTTGAGGTGATTTTCTAGCACCGGGGGGAGTACCCCATTCTTCCCTCACTGGTTTCTGGAAATAGCCCATATTTCTGCCTTACGGTCTGTTACTGTAGGTAAACTTTTCCTGTGCCCATCTAAAGCGCGTTGATCCATTTGTGCTTTAAAAACCATTTCTTCTTGTTTGCTCAAGGATATCAGTCCAGCAATTGTCCCCTCCACCACGCATACATTTTGCTTTCTGTTTAATTATTTCCATCAGTATATGTATTAGTGTCCTAAGGCTGGCATGACAAAGTACCACAAACGGGGTGGCTTAAAACAGTATAAATTAATTATCTCACAGTTCCAGAGCACAGAATTCTGAAATCAAGGTATTGGCAGGGCTATCATCCCCTGCTTCTTCCTAGTTTCTGGTTGATGCTGGCAATCCTTAACATTCCTTGGCTCACAGCGGTGCTACTCCAGTTTCTGCATTTGTCATTACTTGGCCTTCTTCCCTGTTTGTTTTTATGCATGTGTCTTCACATTTCTTTATGAATATGGCACCAGTCATTGGATTTTGGGCCCACCCTAATCCATTATGACCTCATGCTAACTTGATTACATATGCAAAGACTGTATTTTTAAATGTGGTCATAGTCACAGGTGCCAAGAGTTAGGACTTGAACATATCTTTTTGGGGGACACAATTCAACCCACAACAATGGGACTAGTCTAAATTTTGACAGTCTACTTCCATGGTCAGGTACATACTTTAAAATTCTTTGGGAGGACTGCCCAGTCCTTACCGCCATCTGGGGTGGTGGGGAGGGAGGAGGTGGGGAGAAACCTTGGCACCATGGCAGCGTTGGCTTCCATTTTCCTCAGCAACTAACGCCTCCTGCTTCCTCCCCAACCTGCGAGGGCCTTCGGGCCATAGGCTGGGACGGGAACCTGGTTGGGTAGCGGCAGACTCAAACCCTTTCCTAGAGGGGCTGAGGGCTGACTCCTTTCTCCCCTTTGCCTAAAAAACAATAACAACAACAGAAACTCTTTGGGAGGACTTACTGTCTTGAGTCTTAATCAGCTTTAGAGAGAAAGAGAAGTAGAGTCAGAGTCTTAAGCTTTAAGGTCTGCTCAATCATGATTTGGTGCTGCCTTGATATTAATCTGTTCATACCCTGCACCTAAGATATTACTTCTGTGGGACTAATATAAAGGGTATACATTAGCTTAAAAATGGGGGAAAGCTAAGAATAATATTTTAAAGTTTTCTAAATATATTCTCTCACTGCTATTACTGGCTTCTTCCCTCCCATCGGCCCCCATTCTTTGTGCCCATACATAAATCAATCTTCAGTCACCTCTCAGGGTTTCTTACAGGTGTTCTGTTTTGTTTTGTTTTTAATTTAAATTTAAATTTTTAAACATGTTGTTGAAAGTATTACAGATGTCCCTCCCCCAACCCAATTGATTCCTTCTAGCCCACACCACTCTCTGCCCCTGCCCTTCACCACACTATTGTCTGTGTCCATAGTTTATGCTTATATGCATACAAGTTGTTTGGTTAATATCTTCCTACTCACCCCACCTTCCCTATGAGATTTGACAGTTTCTTCCATGCTTCTGTGTCCCTGGATCTATTTTGTTCATTATATTCCACACATGAGTGAGATCATGTGATACTTATCTTTCTTTGACTGGCTGATTTCACTTAGCATAATCCTCTCCAGGTCCATCCATGCTGTCTCAAAGGGTAAGAGATCTTTCTTTTTTACTGCTGCATAGTATTCCATAGTGTAAATGTACCACAGTTTTTTTTGTTTGTTTTTTTTAAATATATTTTGTTGATTTTTTACAGAGAGGAAGGGAGAGAGATAGAGAGTTAGAAACATCGATGAGAGAGATACATCGATCAGCTGCCTCCTGCACATCTCCTACTGGGGATATGCCCGCAACCAAGGTACATGCCCTTGACCGGAATCAAACCTGGGACCCTTTAGTCCGCAGGCCGACGCTCTATCCACTGAGCCAAACCGGTTTTGGCAACCACAGTTTTTTATACACTCATCTACTGATGAAAACTTGGGCTGTTTCCAGATCTTAGCTATTTTAAATTGTGCTGCTATGAACATAGGGATGCATACATTCTTTCTGATTGGTGTTCTGGGATTCTTAAGATATATTCCTAGAAGTGGGATCACTTAGTCAAATGTCAGTTCCATTTTTAATTTTGGAAGGAAATTCCATACTATTTTCCACAATGGCTGCAACAGTCTGCATTCTCACCAGAAGTGTACTAGGGTTCCTAATTCTCCACATCCTCACCAGCACTTGTCATTTGTTGATTTGTTGATGTTAGCTATTATGATAGGTGCAAGATGATATCTCATTTTAATTTTAATTTGCATCTCTCTTATGATTAGTGACTTTGAGCATTTTTTCATATGTCTTTTGGCTATTTGTATGTTCACTTTAGAGAAGTATCTATTTGGGTCCTTTGCCCATTTTTTAATTGGATTGTTAGTCTTTTTGTTAAGTTGTACGAGTTGCTTATATGTTTTGGATATTAACCCTTATCAGATGTATCATTGGCAAATATGTCCTTTCATACAGTGGATTACCTTTTCATTTTGTTGATGGTTTCTTTTACTGTGCAAAAGCTTTTTATTTTGATAGTCTCCTTTCTTTATTTTCTCTTTTGATTCCCTTGCCCTAGGAGATGTATCTGTAAACATATTGTTGCAAGAGATGTCTGAGATTTTGCTGCCTATGGTTTCTTCTAGGATTTTTATGGTTTTGTAACTTACATTTAAGTCTTTTACCCATTTTGAATTTGTTCCTGTGTGTGGTATAAATTGGTGGTCTAGTTTCATTTTTTTTTTGCATGTATCTGTCCAATGTTCTCAACACCATTTATTGAAGAGACTGTCTTGACTCTATGGTATGCTCTTTGCTCCTTTGTCAAATACTAATTGAGCATTATGGCTTGAGTCCATAATTTCTGGGGTCTCTTCTCTTCCATTGATTTATATGCCTGTTCTTGTGCCAGCACCGGTCTGTTTTAATTACAGTGGCTTTGTAGTATAACTTGATATCTGGTATTGTGATCTCTCCCACTTTGTTCCTCTTTCTCAAGATTGCTGTGGCTATTTGGGGTCTTCTTTGGTTCCACATAAATTTTTGGAATGTTTATTCTAAATCTCTGAAATATGCCGTTGGTATTTTGATGGGGATTGCATTGAATCTATAGATTGCTTAGTGTAGTATGGACATTTTAATGATGTTATCTCTACCAATCCATGAACACAGTATATTCTTCCACTTGTTTATATTTTCCTCTATCTCTTTTTCAACGTCCTATAGTTTTCAGAGTACAAGTCTTTTATCTCCTTCGTGAAGTTTATTCCTAAGTATCATATTTTTGTTGTTGTTGTTGCAGTGGTAAATGGGATTATTTTTTTAGTTTCTCTTTCTGAGAATTTGTTATTGGTGTATAAAAATGCCTTAGATTTCTGGGTGTTAATTTTGTATCCTGCTACATTGCTTAATTCGTTTATTAAATCTAGTACCTTTTGGTGGAGTCTTTGGGGTTTTTTTGTACAGTATCATGTCATTTGCAAATAATGACAGGTTTACTTCCTCCTTTCCAATATTGATGCCTTTTATGTTTTCTCCTCGCCTGATGGCTCTGGCTAGGACTTCCAGTACTATGTTGAATAAGAGTGGTGAAAGTGGACATCCATGTCTTGTTCCTGTCTTTAGAGGGAATAGTTTTTGGTTTTGCCCATTTAGTATGATGTTGGTTGTAGGTTTGTCATATATAGCCTTCATTATGTTGACATAAGATCCCTCTATTCCCACTTAGCTGAGAGTTTTTATCAAAAAAGGGTGTTGGATTTTGTTGAATGCTTTTTCTGCATCTATTGATATGATCATATGATTTTTTTCTTTCAGTTTCTTTATACGATGTATCATGTTTATTGATTTGCAAATATTTTAGATTTTAAAAAATAATAATTTTTGTTAGGGATGTTTCCATTTTCATTTTTTAATTTCTCCAGAGTTGATTTGGAGATTTAACATCTTTATGGCAATATATAATCCTGCCATCATTTTTAATCTGAAATCTTTATCTTTATTCTCAGGAAGGAATAAAATTTTTTCACCTATAATTTGGAAGTTAAGTAAATAACAAAATGAAGCCAGTAAAGCATCTGTTGCCCTCTAGTAATAAATTGGCAAGTGTTCCAGAATTAAGTTACAACAAAGGATTTCATAATTCACCATTGTCACCTAAACCAAAGGAAAAACAAAGTTCAAAGTTAGTGCGTGAGAAACTTGAACCAATGGTCTTAAGATCTCCACCAACAGGAGAATCCGTTGTGAGGTATGCTTTGCCCATTCCATCAAGTAAGACAAAGGAATTAATAGCAGAAGATGAATTGCTCAGAAAAATTACCAAACATCTAAAGATGGTAAGTCATTTGTTTGTTCCTGTGTGGAGGGTCCCATGACCTTTTCTGGGTTTAGTGATTTGCTGGGTGGACTCACTGGGTTCAGCATATAGTCATATTGATGGTTAAGATTTATTATAGTGAAAGAATACAAAGCAAAACCAACAAAGGGAGAAGAAGGCACATTGGTGAAGTCTAGAGGAAACAAGGTACAAACTCCCAAGAGTCCCCTCCTTTTGGAGTCACACAGAACATGTCTTAATTCCTCCAACAACAAATTGTGACAAAACATATGAAATGTCTACAAGAGAAGTTCATTGAAGACTCAGTGCCCAGGGTTTTATTGGGGCTTGATCACCTAGGTACTCTCTGCTTATCATGTATCAAATTCCAGACTCCCTGGAGGAAAGCAAGTGTTAACATTAGTTGTTATTTGTACAAACAGTGTAGGGACAGATGAGTTAGCGAATGGTGGGAACCCTTCTGAAATCCAAGTTCTGAGATGCATACAGATCTTTTCTTAGGAATAGGTTTTTTGAAGTCTCATGCCTGCTCTGTCACCTAATCTCTGCACTTTAGAAACTTTAGCTCCTGGTTTTGGGAAATAAATTTCCCTTTCTGTGGGGTTCTTTTTGCTCAATGATCCAGAATCTATATATATAAAAGGCTAAGCGACTGGCTGACTGGCTGGTAGCTATGACACACACTGACCACCATGGGGCAGATGCTCAACCCAGGAGCTTCTGAGCGACAGCAACTTTGCAGAGTGCCCTCTCACACTCCAGGACCCCTCAGGGGATGTCAGACTGCCAGTTTCGGCTTGATCCCCGCAGGCCAGGCTGAGGACCCCACCTGCCGGAGGGACCCCGCTCACTTTGCAGATGCCCTTCAAGCCCTGGTGCTGCCCCTGGTTTGGCCAGCCGGGGAGGGACCATAGGAGGTTGGCTCCAGGGCATGTCTGGCCCGTCTCACCCAGTCCCACCCTGCTGGCCACCTTCTAATTAATTTCTTTCAATGTGCGTGAATCTGTGCACTGGGCCTCGAGTTAAATTATAAATGTACCAAATGCCATTGGTATAAACACTGAAAAATGGGGAATATCACAAACATAAAAAAAAAAATAGTTTGCCAAACTTCCAAAATATAAGTTTGCTCAAAGTTTGAGGGGTTAATTCAGATAATTTCCTTTAAAACAGTGGTTGCCAACTGGTGGTCTGCAGACCACTGGTGGTCTGTGAGGTCTGAAAGGTTGGCGACTGATGCTTTAAAAAATGTATTGTTTTCTGATTTCCATCTCTCTATTTTCCCTACTCTCTCCAGAGAAGAAAGTTGAGTCAGTTAAATTTTTAGGAATATGTCAGTGGTAAAGTAAAGTTGATGCTTCAGCTATGCCTAGGTAGACCCTCTCCTCTTAAAATACCTGTCAATACAGAAATGGAAGAGTCATAGAGCCTCTTTTGCTAGGAAGTAGGGTTAAGGACTGTTGCTCAGGACTTCTTCATGATGATATGAGCTGGGGCATAAGATGGAAAATTTAAGTTGAGTACTGGCAAAAATAATTTTTTTCCTTTACTGATTTTAGAGAGAGAGGAAGGGAGAGGGATAGAGAGATAGAAACATTGATGAGAGTGAAACATCATCAATGGGCTGCCTCTTGCATGTCCCCCAACTGGGTATTGAGTCTGAAACCTGGACATGTGCCCTGACCAGGAATCAAACCACGGACCTCTTTGGTTTTTGGATCGACACTCAACTGCTGAGACACACTGGCTGTGCAGAAATAGTCTTATTGCCGAAAAGGTCCTGACATGGTTGATTTAATATATTTTTACATTTAATGTAATAATTTTAAACTACAAATGTACTTAGTTTGCTTTTTCTCTTAGGTTGTTTCTACTTTGGAAGAAACCTACGGAATGGGCAGTGAAAATGTAGAAAAACCACTTGTAAAGTCTGAACTTGAAGAAGTATCTTTATCTGTAAGTATATGCAAATTCTAATGTAGAGAAATGAACACTGAAAAGGGCTAAGATTTTCTTTTGTGTTCACATATGTTTACAGAATAAATTCCTTATCCATTAAAAATGATCCACTTAGGATACTTAAAAATAGTGTACTGATTTTTCCATCCTCTGTCAATGACACTTCCTTAAAGTTTAACACACACACACACACACACACACACACACACACACACGTGGGCAAAAAAGTTTATAGTTGTGAGTACATAATCTTGTATTATTATTTATTGTTGTACTATATTTTTTTCCAAATGAACAACTGTAAGCCTACTTTTGCCCACCTCTATGTACTTTATAATCAGAAGTCATAATTAGCATTCATTTTTATTTTATTTTATTTTAAATATATTTTATTGATTTTTTACAGAGAGGAAGGGAGAGAGATAGAGTTAGAAATATCGATGAGAGAGAAACATCGATCAGCTGCCTCCTGCACATCTCCCACCGGGGATGTGCCCACAGCCCAGGTACATGCCCCCGACCGGAATCGAACCCGGGACCCCTCAGTCCGCAGGCCAATGCTCTATCCACTGAGCCAAACCAGTTTCGGCCATTTTTAAACACAAAGATATTTATAAGGTATACCCATAGTAGTTACTTTTTTTTGGCCATTCATAATATTTCAGGAGTCTAAGGCTGGGGTTGCTTGATTTTCTGCAACTAGATAGACGAAAATGAGAGCAGAGACATAACTGGGAATATGACATTAATGAGCCACTCCCGAGAATGTACTTATAAATTTTCTGGGAGAATTTGCTAGTATAGCATTTGGAGCCTGGTTTCTTGCCTAATGTGTTTGAATTAACCTAAATTACATACACAAAATTATTTTGAAAACTAGTTAAATATACTAAAATATAGATGAATATACATACAGGTTCTAAAATAAAAGCAACTTTCTGTTTGTTATTCTTTTCAAAGGTTGGGGATGATCTAAATTCATTCTTGGTATGTTGTTCACAATTTGCAGCTCAATTAGAAGGAGCAGTTAAAGAGGAGAGTCATGTATGTATTCTGTGTAAACTATCAAGTATAAAATATTGCTTACTATTTTAATAATCTTAATAATAATATAAATAAACAATATTAATAATAAACATTTAAATTATTAATTATTAACACTAATTTATTAATAAAATATTTACTGTTATATTGGTTATTTGACTTGACTGTGATTATCCAGATAGCATTATTAGTCTAGATACGATGCCTTAATTAGTTATAAAGAGCATTAGAAAACATTATTTATTTTTCCTTATTCTTTTTTAAATCTTTATTTTTTGAAAGTATTACATATGTCCCCCTTTTTTCCTCATTGACCCCTTCTAGCTCACCCCAGGCCTTCACCTTCCTATTGTCTGTGTCTATGGATTGTGCATATGGAAATACAATTTCTTTGGTTGATATCTTCCCTCCCACCCTCACTTACCCTCTGAGATTTGACAGTCTGGTCCATGCTTCTCTGTCTCTTGATCTATTTTGTTCATTAGATTTCACATATGAGTGAAATCATATGGTACTTATATTTCTTTGACCAGCTTATTTCAGTTAGCTTAATCCTCTTCAGGTCCCTCTATGCCAATGATGGCGAACCTATGACACTCATTTTTTTTGGTTGATTTTTCTTTGTTAAATGGCATTTAAATATATAAAATAAACATCAAAAATATAAGTCTTTGTTTTACTATGGTTGGAAATATAAAAAAATTTCTGTATGTGACACGGCACCAGAGTTAAGTTAGGGTTTTTCAAAATGCTGACACGCCGAGCTCAAAAGGTTCGCCATCACTGCTCTATGCTGTCTCCTTCTTTTTTACTGCTGCATGGTATTCCATGACGTAAATATAATACAGCTTTTTTATCCACTCATCTACTGATGGGCAGGCACTTGGGCTGTTTCCAGATCTTAGCTATTGAAAATTGCACTGCTATGAACATAGAGGTGAATACATTCTTTCTGTTTGGTGTTTCCAGTTTGCTAAGATATACTCCTAGAAGTGGGATCAATTGGTCAAATGTCATTTCCATATTTAATTTTTTGAGGAAACTCCATACTGTTTTCCATAATGGCTGCACCAGTCTGCATTCCTGCCAGCAGTGTACTAGAGTTCACTTTTCTCCACATCCTCACCAGCACTTGTCATTTGTTGATATGTTGATGGTAGCCATTCCATTAGGTGTGAGGTGATACCATTGTCATTTTAATTTGCATTTCTCTGATGATTAGTGAATTAGAGCATTTTTTTTCATATGTCTCTTGGTCATCTGTATGACCACTTTGGAGAAGTTTACAATTTAGGTCCTTTGCCCATTTTTTAAATGGCATGTTTGTCCTCCTTTTGTTAAGTTGTATGAGTTCCTTATATATTTTGGATATTAACCCCTTATCAGATGTATCATTAGCAAAGAGAATTTCTTTTCATTTTGTTGATGGTTTGTTTTGCTGTACAGAAGTTTTTTTTTATTTTGATCTATTCACATTTCTTTGTTTTCTTTTTTATTTCCCTTGCCCTAGGACATGTATCTGCAAACATATTGCTATTAGAGATGTCTGAGATTAAACTCCCTATGGTTTCTTCTAGGATTTTTATGGTTTCCTGGCTTACATTTAAGTCTTTTAGCCATTTTGAGTTTATTCTTGTGTATGGTGTAAGTTGGTAGTTTAGTTTCATTTTTTTACATGTATCTGTCCAATTTCCTTAAAATCATTTATTGAAGAGACTGTCTTGACTCCATTGTATGCTCTCTCCTCCTTTGTCAAATAATAATTGAGTGTAATGGCCTGGGTCGATCTCTGGGTTCTCTATTCTGTCCCATTGATCTATATGCCTGTTCTTGTGCCAGTACTGGGCTGTTTTGATCACAGTGGCTTTGTAGTATAACTTGATATCTGGTATTGTGATCTCTCCCACTTTGTTCCTCTTTCTCAAGATTGCTGTGGCTATTTGGGGTTTTTTTTGGTTCCACATAAATTTTTGGAATGTTTATTCTAGATCTCTGAAATATGCTGTTGGTATTTTGATGGGGATTCCCTTGAGTCTGTAGATTACTTTGTGTAGTATGGACATTTTAATGATGTTAACTCTACCAATCCATGAACACGCTATATTCTTCCACTTATTTATATCGTCCTCTATCTCTTTTTCAATGTCTGTAATTTTCAGAGAACAAGTCTTTTACCTCCTTCGTGAAGTTTATTCCTAGCTATGTTAATTTTTTTGTTGCAGTGGTAAATGGGATTATTTTTTTTAGTTTCTCTTTCTAAGAATTTGTTATTGGTGTATGAAAATGCCTTATATTTCTGGGTGTTAATTTTGTATCCTGTTACATTGCCAAATTCATTCATTAAATCTAGTAGTTTTTTTGATGGAGTCTTTAGGGTTTTTATGTACAATATCATATCATCTGCAAATAACAGTTTTACATACACCTTTCCCATTTGGATGCCTTTGTTTTTCTTTTTCTTTTCTTTTTTTTGTCTGATGGCTTTGACTAGGACTTCTAGTACTATTTTGAATAAGAGTGGTGGAAGTGGATATTCCTTTCTTGTTCCTGTTTTTAGAGGAAGTGGTTTTAGTTTTTGCTCATTGACTATGATGTTGGCTGCAGGTTTGTCATATAAGGCCTTTTTATGTTGAGGTATGATCCCTCTATTTCCACTTAGCTGAGAGTTTTTATCAAAAAAGGGTGTTGGATTTTGTTGAATGCTTTTCTGCATCTATTGATATGATCATATGATTTCTTTTTCTTTTAGTTTGTTTATGGGATATATCATGTTTATTGATTTGCAAATATTGTAACAACCTTGTATCTCCAGAATGAATCCCACTTCTTCATGGTGTATGATCTTTTAATATATTGCTGGATTCAGTTTGCTAATATTTAGTTGAAGATTTTAGTATCTATGTTCATGAGGGATATTGGCCTGTCATTCTCTTTCTTTTTAGTGTCTTTATTTGGTTTTGCAATCAGGATAATGCTGGCATCACAGAAGGAGCTTGGAGGTGTTCCTTCCTCTTGGAGTTTGGAATATTTTATGGAGTACAGTAGGTCCTTGGGTTACGCCGGAGATCCATACCTATGGCGCGACGTAACACGATTTTCGCCATAAGTCAGAACCCACCTACATAAGTACCTACGTCACTTACATGGAGCCACATACACAGCAGTAATGAAGTGAAACAGTAAAAAAAGTTTAAAAGATAACAATTCCTGACCTTTACTTGTGGTAAATAAATAATAAAAAAATAAAGCATATATGTACATACGTCGAAATGACAGACCTATTTTTAATAAATAAATGGGAGATGGCGTCGTAACCACAAAATGATGTATGTCGAGTCCAACGTAACCCGAGGACTGTCTGTATAAGTGTTAGCTCTTCTTTGAGTGTTTTTGCTAATACTCCCCTGTGAAGCTGTCTGGGCTAGGGCTTTTGTTTGCTGGGAGTTTTTTGCTTACTGCTTCAATTCCATCAGTTGTTATTGGCCTATTGAGGTTTTCTGACTCTTCCTGATTCAGTTTTGAAAGATTGTATTTTTCTAGGATTTTTTCATCCACACTGTCCAGCTTGTTGATATATAGTAGTTCATATATTTTATTACAATCCTTTGTATTTCTGACATGTCAGTTGTTACTTCACTGTTTTTCATTCTTATTTTATTTATATGGGTCCTCTCTCTTTGTTTCTTGATGAGTCTGGCTTGTTCATCAATCTTGTTTATCTTTTCAAAGAACCAGATCTTGGCTTCATTGGTGCTTTTGTATTGGTTTTTTAGTCTTTATGTCATTTATTTCTGCTGTCATCTTTTAAAAAATATTGTTGATAGTACTACAGATATCTCCCATTTCCACCCTTTCACCCCTCTATTCCCAGCCCCTAGCACCCCCCTCCCAGTCTTCACTATCTTATCTTCTCTAATCTTTTTTAAAAAAATATTTTTATTGATTCCAGAGAGGGAGAGAGAAGGAGAGAGAGATAGAAATATCAATGATGAGAGAGAATCATTGATAGGTTGCCTCCCACACACCCCACACCAGGGATCAAGCCTGAAACCCAGGTATGTGCCCTGACTAGGAATCGAACTGTGACCTCCTGGCTCATAGGTCAACACTCAACCACTGAGCCAAGCCTGCTGGGCTCTTTTCTTTTCTTTCTTTTTTTTGAAATATATTTTATTGATTTTTTTACAGAGAGGAAGGGAAAGGGATAGAGAGTAAGAAACATCAATGAGAGAGAAACATCGATCAGCTGCCTCCTGCACACTCCCCACTGGGTATGTGCCTGCAACCAAGGTACATGCCCTTGACCAGAATCGAACCTGGGACCCTTGAGTCTGCAGGCCGACGCTCTATCCACTGAGCCAAACCGGTTAGGGCAGGGCTCTTTTCTTATCTTTATTATTTCCTTCCTTCTACTTACTCTGGACTTTTCTTGTTTTACTCTTTCTAATTCTTTAAGTTGTAGGGTTAAGTAGTTTTTTTTTTTTTTTTTTTTTTAGTTTGGCCTGTAGTGCTATGGACTTCCCTCTCAGTATTGCTTTTGTTGTGTCCAAGAGATGTTGGTTGCTGTGTGTTCATTTTCATTTGTTTTCAAAACGTTTCTTACTTCTTTCTTGACCTTATTGTTAACCCATTCATTGTTTAGAAACATGCTATTTAGACTTCATGTGTTTGAATGTTTTTAATGTAGTTGATTTCTAATTTCATTCTATTGTGATATAAGAAGATGCTATTATTTTAATATTCTTGAATGTGTAGAGAGTTGTTTTGTGTCCTAATATGTGGTCTGTCTTCGAGACTGACCCATATGCCCTTGAGAAGAAAGTTGTTTATTCTGCAGCTTTGCTTGAAAGTTCTATAAATGTCAATTAAATCCATGCCATCCAGTGTGTCCTTTAGAGTCACTGTTTCCTTGATAATTTTTTGTCTGGAAGATCTATCCAGTGAAATCAGTGGGCTGTTAAAGTCCCCTACTATTACTATTTCTGATCTCTCCCTTAAAG